TATATACTATACATATTAATTTAATATTTATATGCATTCTATTCAGTTGACTTTGCTTACAAATTCATAAAATGGTTTTTAGCTATGTTTCTTCCTCGTTACTTAACTCTGTGATTATTCAAATAAAATGAATTATTCTCCAATTAGAAATTCAATTCATTCTCTTTCGAGCTAAAAATCTTGTATCAACGTCTAGAGTAAAACAGTTCGCCTTGACTTCATATGAAACAACAAGCAGCTGTAGCTTGAGTCAGTCAGAGATTGAGTATTGAGTACATTAGTCTACGCACGAGTAATATACGTGAGAGAATTGTTTTTCAGGTATTTGACAACAAAGGCAATTAAACATGAAAACTACATTGCGTATTTGTCAGCTATAAATGTAGACAGGTTCCCAAGATATGCGGGGGGAGGAACTTTGGAAACTAAACAGCTTCAAGCGAGAGCTCAGATACTATTATCTGTCGGTAAGTGAAACATGAATGTATGAAAATATGTTTAATTTTTTATCTATTATAAAGATACATTGAGAATATATATGTGCATCAATTAGCAATTCCTATCAAGATCTTGAATTGTATTTATACACCCATATATCTATTATGTCGGAACATTGAGAATATATATTCCCAAGAATTTCATAAATATGTTTTTGATTTGAGTTCCGTCATTTTTGTTTTTACTTGTATAGAATATACATATATAGAATATTGATTGATGATGAATGCGTCATTTGTGTAAAATACATTTGAGTGATTTAATTCACATTAACATGGGAATTACTTCCTTGAATAAATATGATCTTGCTAAGCATTTTGCTTTCATATTTGAGTCAAAACAATTTTCTAGTGCTTTAGCTCTCTTCTATTTATCAGCTTTTAGATAGGCCACCTGATTGCCTCGTAAGTGTCTGAAAAGTTCTTTGTGTGATATGAGGTCCGTTTGTCGAGGCCAAGTCAGCAGACGTTGAACGATTGGCTTTAGGTCTTATCTATAAACCGAAAGTTGTCCAATATACCTTCAATTACATTTATATATTGCTCAGCTTTTGATGTGATTACAATACCCAGCGGCTTCTCCATAGTAATTGGCCATGCTTTATAAGAGCTCACGCTTCTACAAATAGTGCATCTGTTTATTTGCTCGCCTATTAGCGACTTTTATGGCCAGGGCACATGACAAGCAACACATAAATTCGCGAATATCAAATTGAAATCACATTTCAGTTCAAATTATGATAAATTGATATTCTCTTATATTGTAACACGCATAAATAAACATACACGCATATCTGTACATATATACATACATATGTACAAAACTTGCCAGCGCACATCTGTGTAATTAAATGTGTTCATACCGCTAGCATGCATATATGCACATGCACATCCACACACACACACACACACTGTCTGTATGTTAACGATTTGGGGAATTCGAGAAACTCGCAGAAGCAAACAAAACCGGAACCAGTTGCTTGAGAAGATTCGCCTGGTTATAAGAGTTAGTTAACGGTCTCAATGCTTAGCTGTTCCACTGGAATTGGTGATCCGTTGCAAATTTTCATTTTCCAACTGATGGGAAATCGAGCTGCTCAGGGTCAGCGCAGCGTGTTGATTTGTAAGTTATTTGCAATTACAGGTTATCCAGCCCCTCTCACTCTCCATTTGGCTCTTGCACTCTCCACGTAACACATAAGGAGTCGAGTTCACTTCGTAAAGGCTCTTTTACTTCACTTGTTTGCTTGCCGAACTGCTTTCGTTTTGGTAAAGCTTTCAACAGCTCCTCGCACACTCACACCCATGCACAGCTCACACTTGGAAAGCTTTTTTGCCACAGCCTTACGTACTTGTATATTTTCTTTATTTATATGCCACTCTTGCAAACACTTTGTGGACAATTTTTGTATTATTTTATTCACGTTATAAACTAAAACCACATAACACGACGAACTTCACACGAACCACAAGACGTAAACGGCAAAAGCTTCGCGCACGTTTGTCAGCTTCAACATTCGTCGGTTTACTGAACGCGATACAACGGCGACGCGAACGACTTTATCATCAATGATTTGACTTGAATTTGATCAAGCCGTAAGACAATGGTGTATGTATGTATGAATGTACATGTGTATATAATCGGAGATTGTGCTCTTGATAAAAGAGAGAATTTACTTTTAAAGTCACTTTTTAAATAATGAATACAAGTGTTTATATACAAGTATGATTAGATAATTTTCAATTACTTGTAGTATTCTAAAAATTTCATTGCATATCAGTTCATTAAACGCAGACGATTTTAACCTGAGAGACATTCAAAACTACGCGCTCTCTTTTTCCAATTCCCGAAGTTTTGTTTTGACATATTTTTTACTGAAATAAATGTTAATTGTAAATTTTTATAAATAACAATCAAAAAGACAATCTAATTAATTACGTTCCGATTTTCAGAAAGATTCAAGATGAAATAACCGGTATTTATAATTTTTTAGAAAACACCAACATAACGTTTTCTATGGCAACCATATCGAAAGAGATTTTAAATTTTTTAATTAATAAATGAACTCGTCACATATCTTTGGTGAATTTATAACAGTATTAAATTATATTCTACATTTTATCCGATTGAATATGTGTAAATGGTATTTGAATGCTTAAATAATAATAATTATAAATAAAACCTTGTTGGTGAAAAATTGAAATCGCCTATCGATAATATACAAATGTTACATTTAAATATTGGTGATCTCATAGCAGCTCAAAATGGTATTCATATGAAATGTTTTAAGAATTTTCACAATGAGTAGCGTTATGGTGACGAAAACTCATAATCACTGATGGCAAAGATTAATATATAAGTTATGAAAATTTATATGAAAAGTTTACACAAATTTCATAATAAATAATCGATTATATATAAATGTAATGTTTTAATGTAAGGCGAATTCATAACATCTCAGTATAAGCTTAACAGTGCCATTTAGAGCATGGCCGCTGTTAAATCGAATATCTCATCTCATTTATCGAGAGAAAAAAACCAGAGACAACAGTGAGTGAGAGAGAGAGAAAAACCGAAAAACACATCACTACAGTCGACCTATTTTCAGGTAGTAGGAGAAAAAAAGCAATATTTTGCGGAAAACTCACGAATCGTATTTTAACGAAATACGCATTATACAAACATTGTTAAAGAGCAACCGCATTAGCATTCAACTGATAAGCAAATGTGCGCAAAATGAAAGTAACAATCAAGTCATGGACGGGCGTTGCATCTTGGCGTTGGATAGCGAATGATGAGAATTGTGGCATTTGTCGCATGTCCTTTGAGAGCACTTGCCCCGAGTGTGCGCTGCCCGGTGACGACTGCCCACTGGTGTGGGGTGTTTGCTCCCATTGCTTTCACATGCATTGCATTGTCAAGTGGCTGAACTTGCAACCGTTGAACAAACAGTGTCCAATGTGCCGCCAAAGCTGGAAATTCAATATACACTAAAAAGAAAAAGCCAAACTAAGCCCGAAACACGAAAAGCAAAGCAAAGAAAGAAAAAACGAGTACGAGAACGAATAGAAAAAGATTACGAGTAAAAGAGAGCGAAATTCACAGAGAGCAAGAACAACGAAAGCAAACTTTTATGATTTTTGTTTTATATTTGCAAAATGATGGAAAACACTGATCAACAGCTACAACAACGTCAGCTGCAGCTGCAACAACAACAGCAACACTCGTTAATCGGTCTGCCGCCACTGCCAAAAAGTCTGAGCGCCGCTGCTGCTACCATTGGATCGGATTTGGCGAGCGGCCACGCACAGAGCCAGGTGCACGGGCAGTCGCAGCTGCGCTCGCACACCTCCTCTCCGCTGCAGCTGCAGTCGGCCACATCTGTTGCCGCTCTAACCGCTGCAACGGGCGATCTGTACCTGGGGCCATCCACCTCGTCGGCGGCGCGCAATCGCAATTATAATGGCCATGGGCGACATGGCAGCCTATCCTCCACCCAGGAGTCGCTCAGCGATCGAGAGAGCGTGCACAGTCGCGCATCGTCCACTCATAGTGCGAGTGGCAGTACCGCCCAGCAGCAGCAGCACACGCCCACCAACAGCAGCAGCAACGCTTCCAGCACCATTGACAACCAGCTGGCGATATTGCGCCGGGAGATGTATGGACTGCGGCAGTTGGACTTGTCGCTGCTGTCGCAGCTGTGGGCGCTGAATGAATCCATTCAGGGCTTTCGTGTGTTTCTGCAGGAACAGGATGCGCTGTCGCCGCCGTCCCGCTCGCGCACGCCATCCGATGCCAACTCGCTGTCCTCTGACGAGGATGACGGCTCCTATGCACCGCTCGCTGTGCCCAAGCTGAATGTGCCACCGGCAAGCATTGCTGCGCTCTCCTCGCCAGCGGCCAGCGGGAGTTTGCCCACCAAATTGGCGACGGGTTCGACGACATCGCATGCATCGACCAGCTCCACATCTGGGGCGTCCGGCTCATCGTCGGCAGCGTCTTCTATGGGCAAGCACCACCATCATCAGCAGCAACAGCAGCAGCAGCAACAACAGATGCCTCACTATCATCATCAGCATCGATCCGCACCCCCACCTGCGCCGCCCGCCCAGCACAAGGCGCATCCGCAGTTGCCGCGCATACTGCAGCAACGCATGCGGCATGCCCCGCCTCCGCCGCCACCCACGCGGCCCAAAGGCGGCGGCGCCAGCAGCAGCAGCAGCAATCACAGCATCAGCAGTGTCTCACAGCAGCAGCAGCACCACCAACAACAACAGCATCAGCAGCTGCTGCATCAGAGTTCGCAGCATCAGAGGCCCGTATGACAAAACCCGTTCTTGGACTAAGCAATGCCTGGTCCAAGAACGCCAGTTGATCGTAGATACCAATAAAAAGCAACAAACAATAAACCACAAACAACAAACAAAGAAGCAACAAAACATTTCTGAAAAGTCAATTGCACATTTAACCGAAAGTCAATTAAGATTTAGGAAAACATTCGAAAGGGCAACTGAATGCGACTTGTGATCTTGCCTGACAGCAGCTGCATCCACATACAGTCACCCAAAACAAATACCCCTTAAATAATATCACACACACACACACATCCAAGCTTGCCATTCGTTCCATTTCGTTCTTGGACTTGGGATATTTATCGCTAACCAATCTCGAATGGTTAAATTTTTGCAAAAAAACAAAAAAAAAAATACAAAAAACAAAAATGAAATGAAAAGCAAAACAAACAAAAAATGAAACGAAATTGTATTCAATAATAATAATCTTTAAATAGTTAAGGATGTAATCCTTCGATAAGTACTACGTATATCGCATATTTATAAAAAAAAAAATATATATATATATATACATATAATCTATTTGTATATTAGCCGTAAAAAACTAAATCATAAATTGCTGCTTTCAAATAGAAACATTGAGCATCGAAACAAAAACAATACGAGGGCATTTCTTAAACAAACAAAAAACACATAAAAAATGTTAGCAAGCATAAACTTTGTTAAATTACCTATTGTACTATTTGAATCTATTCTAAAACCTAAAACGCTATAAAAAAAGCATACTCACTCATTAGAATTAACCAAAAACTGAACTCTTGGTCAACAAAAAAAAAAAAAAGAAACAAAACAAAACTATTATAACTATCGTATCCATATGCATATTATTTTGTTATTCTCTACTGAGAAAAACGTAGGCAGATTGTTAATTGAAACAAAGATGTTAATCTGCTTCACATAGAGACACTCGAGTATGTTAGAAATTAATAATCCCAAACTGGAATAGAACTCTTCCCCATAGGCATTCTTTCAAGATACATATTCTGAATTTAGGCATTAAGTATTTGATATTGTGCCTGAATATATCGATTCGTATTCCATTTACCATTCCCCAATATCCCAACGCCTGAGTGTCCTTGTGGCCAGCTTTGACGAAGAAACGAATCAAAAAAGAAAAAAAAAAAAGCATTATTGTTCCAAAATCGTCAATAGATTTCGAATAGCTGAGATCTAAAATATTGAGTAGGTGCTTTTCAGAACAAAGATAATATATACACATAACTATTTATCTTACTGGGCAACAAAACTAATTAAACAATTCTTACGTAATAAATAGAGAAACAATAGAAAATATTAACTAGATACAATGCTATCTATATATACATATATAGATTGTGGTGCTCATTGGCAGTAAAAATTTAGGAAATTTCAGTTTATTTTTTAATTCTTGTTCAACTCTGACTGAGCCGCTTCAAATATCACCCATTAACGAGAACGATCGACAATATCTATCCAAAATAAAAATCGAGTTATATGCTTCTAGAGTAAAGAAATATAGGAACAAAAATTAAAAATTCCCTTTTCCTTTTTATTGGATAGTTTATAGCGTTTATCTATTGATCTAGTGAGCAGTAAAAATTAAGTTCATGAATTTTTAAAATTTGTAATATTTCTCTAATTCAAATACCTTTGCCGAAACATCTCTAATATCGTGTTCAAGGAGTTCAATCAAAATCTCAAATATTCTAAAGCTAATGCATCAGCCATTGCACTCAGATCATTGCCCAATGAATTTTCTAATGCATTAGTATATACAACAACGTACATGTATAAACTTTAAAGTATGCTCTACGGCGTATACCAAGCATTTATTGAACGTTTATATGGAATCCGGAAAAAGAAATGGAATTTTCAGAAAGCGTGTTTGGGTAGCAATTTGTTGTAGTAATAATAAATTGACGACTTTTTGTATGAAACCTGGTGACAAGAGAGAAACAAATATCGTTAAAATGTAATGGAAAATAATAAATAAACAACCAACAAATTTGAAAATCTTAACAATAAATATCACTTTAAATACTACAAGAATTTCTATGATCTCTATATGTATAGTATTTTATATAAAAAGTTCTATTATATTTATTGAATTTGTTTTCTTAATTTCATTAAACAAATTGTATTTTATGAAAATAGTTTTCAAGTAGCGTTACAATATTATTATTATGATTTTAGTTATTTATTCTTTTAAGCACTTTGGCCTGGGCTTTCAGAAAAGCAAAAATATTTTAAAGATACTAGTTTAATATTTTAACTATTTTGAGTTTTTTCTTGATTTCGGATTTTATCTCGTCATTTCGTTAAGTGTAAACTTTCAATAATTAAATATATTATAAAATATTGCGAATCTTGAATGTTTATATAGAATTTTAGCATAGGTTCAATTTTGGAACTGTCAAAAATTTAGATAAACGAGACTTAAATTTCATAAGATCAAGTTTTGTAATTTTTAATAAAATATTTATGAGATTTGATTTACAATGAAATTTTGGCATATTATTTGACCTTCCTCTTTGGGAGTTCCCCTATTATGTTACGAACTTTTCAAATGTAATGATTAATGTGCGAGCCGATTGGGGAGATTAGGAATTCAGTATTGAAAATTAAAAGACGAATTTCTGATAAAAGAAAAATGAAGTCAGCTATTACATATTCAATAAATATACTGAGAAATTCGACTTTTTTATTTGAGTGTCTGTTTATAAAATCAATAAGTATAAAAAATAATGTCGAATTGGTGCATGGTGGTATAAAAATTCACACTTGATCATAAAGTTATCTTAATTTTATTGAGTACAAAAAGAAGATTCCCTGAGTTAAGTACTAAAGGCGCCACAGCAATTGGATGGGATTTCTGAAAAGTATGAGAGATATTTTATATGAGAGAATTTCGGAGACCGAAGAGAAAGGTAACTCACTATTGGTGTCTTCCCAGCCTAAGGGAACGCCTAAGCGCTTGTTCTCCCGCTTGAGCCATTGATAGAGTGGATCGAAGTATTCGAGTAGTGCAGCTGGATCCATTTCAGTTTCGCCCGTAAACTCCTCCAGGACTTCCTTCCAGTGTCTCGAATTGCCAGCCGACAAGAATTTCTTGAATGCATCGCCCGCCCTTCGGCTGCCAAAGATGTCGCAATTGTCCAGAGTCCGAGTACTGTCACCAGGGGCATACTGTCCAGCTAGACGGCACAGAGCCTTGTGGAACTGGAATTGGAATATGTGGGCTGCAAAGTAGCGCAGATACTCGACATCGGCATCGATATGGTACTTGGCCGGAGGATCAAAGTCCTTGTCGCTGCGAGCCATTGGCGGTTCGACGCCACCGAACTCGGAACGCATCTGCCAGAAGCCGCAGTTCCATTGCGATTCGTCCAGCTCGCCGCGGAACACAGCATAGCGATACTTGTCCATGGTGTAGCCAAAGGGCAGGAAGACAATCTTGGAGAGCGCTCGCTTGAACAGCTCATTGATGCGACTCTCCTCGTCTAGAGTTCCGTTGCTGGTGAGGTTGATGCTCTGCAGATGCTTGGCGGACATTACCGACAGCGCAATGACATCACCCACAGCCTCATGGAAGCCCGGATTGGGGGCTCCTCTATAAACAGCGGGCTGTTGCTCGTATTGCAGATAGTATTGAATGTGGCCCAGCTCATGGTGCACCACGTACAGGTAATGGGTGTTCACCTCGGTGCACATCTTGATGCGGACATCGCTGTCCTGATAAAAGTCCCAGGCAGAGGCATGGCACACTACTTCGCGATCTGCGGGTCGTGTGAGCACACTTCGATTCCAGAAAGTTGGGGGCAAAGCGCGCATGCCCAGCGATTGAAAGAACTGGTCGCCCAGCTCGAACAGCTTCTGCACGCTATATGCCTGTCGCTCCATTTCCGATGTGACGTCCACAAACGGCCTCTCCGGATACGGTGTGAACAGATCGATGACCTCGTTCCACGACTGCCCCCACATGTTGCCCAGCAGATGCATGGGAATGTTGCCCTCAGCGGGCACCACCTCGGGTCCATAATGCTGGCGCAGACGGTACCTCACATAGCCATGGATCTGTCTGTAGAAGGGCAGCAGTGCCTTGTAGGTGGCGTCTAGCTGGCTCTCAAAGGTGGCATCTTCATAGAAGTGGACCCAGTAATCGGCATACGAGCGATAGCCTACAAAACGAGCATTGTGTACATTGTGTCGGGGATCAAGGGGTTATCTGGGTCTATTAGGCACCGCGCATCTCTTACCATTCAGATTGGCTGCCTTGCGCGTCAATCGCACATATTTGGCAAAGTTATCGCGCATTGGTGTCCCCGCCTTATCGTACCATTCGCGCCAATACCAGGCCAGCTCGGCCGGATCGCGACTGTTGGACAGACGCTCTTGGATGTGCGGCTCAAGCGTCAAGGAGCAGTTGGTGCGATTCGTGTAGGAGCAAACAGTGGTGGTGGCATAATTGGATTGCATGGCGCTTATCGCGTTCTTCAGCTCCAAATAGTCATTGGGCTCGAGTACATCCGCACCCAGCTCTTGCAGCATTCGCGCCTGCCTGCGAATGTTTCCATCTTCCGACTTGGCATAGTTGGCCGCTCGAATAGTCTGCGCCAATAATTTGTTCTGCCTGGCGCCTTCAGCATAGACCGCTATCATGGCCTGACGGTTCTCCTCCGTCACGTTGGTGTTGTACGTGAATGCAGCAGAATATTCGGCATGGTACCGTTCACGCAGCTTCGAATTCTCCTGCTCGAAAAAGCAATGAGCCTGCTGCGCCGAGGCGGAGCAAGTCTCATAGGCAGTTCCATAGGGCAGCTGAACATATAGATTTATGTATATACATATATACTGATGTAAATTGATAACTGTTGCAAACACTCACCCACGGCACAAGTGCAAAGGCCACCAAGCAATATACTAGCAGACTCCTCATTGCAACCAGTCTAATCTCTCCTCTGATCCGTTCGTTATCAGTGCTAGACTAACTGTGAATTTTTAGAGCACTCAGACAGTGCTGCTTGTTTCGATTACAGAGCACTGTTAAGCAGTATAAGTTCACAGGACAGGGAACCTGTATTGTGAACGTGTGCTAGTGATGAGCTGCTCGCAGCTAGCTCTGGGCTAATGCTATTCGACTTCTGGACGCCCGCCAACAAATTGTGCAGCGTTTATGCCTATGCTCACGTTCGGTCACTATCTCTCGCACACAAGCACTGTTAAAAGACCCACAACACAGCTACATAGACAGACAGACTCTCAAGTCGCGTATCGATACTTTCCCCTTTGTATTTTTTTTTATATTTAAAACAATTTTGTTGTATATTTCACGCGTACTCGTTTAACGGCTTCTAATCAATTGTCACAGTTGCAAATAGAAAATATACTCAAATAACAGTTCGCTTTATCAGTTTCAGCTTGGGGTATACAAAAATAGCTTCATATTGTCTTATGATACATGGTAGATTATAGAATTGGGTGTTCATTTGCATTAAGGCTGATACAGATATTTACATAATGCAATTACATACATACATATTTATTAACATAATAATGCAATTACATACATACATCCTAATTTACAAAATGCAATTATTTACATATTACAATTACATACATACATACTTGTTTGTTTACATGTCAATGCAATTACATACATACATACATTGCGTGATACAGTGGAACACGAAGAAAATATGTATCAAAGCGATCGACTTAAATAATTATTTTTTAGTCTCAATGGACAACTTGGGTTTAGATCTGTGTCTGGGAGAATTAAGGGAAATAACTATTATTTTATTATTTTTTAAGAATACATATATATGTAACTATGTAACAAGAAAACTATTTGATCTAGTAAATTGGAAAATTCTGGTCTACCAGCTTTGTCCAAGCATGCATGCCATCCTCCAGGTCGCGTACGGAATGATCGGGAAAACGAGTCTTCATATGCTGCACGGCAATCTGTGAATCATTTCCACGCCGGCAAACAACAAATATGGGATACTCTTTGCTCTCCAGCTGCTGGGCAAATCGTTGGATGTAGCTGTCGTCTAGAATCTGGGCCAAAGGAACATTCACGGCGCCGGGCAGTTGACAAATTTCGAACTCCGCCGGCGGACGTACGTCCAGTAATAAATGAGATTTCTTCTCGGTCGCTAGTTTATGGTAGTCCAGCACGTTGATGCGCTGCTCCGGCTCCAGCAACTGCAACGCGTTGTCCTTGTCGTTGGCATTCATGCCACAGAAGAGCTCGTAGTCAATAAGTCCGGTGATCAGTGGCTCGGAAGAGCAGACATGACAATTGGGTCGCTTGCCTCGGATCTTGATATTGCGGAATTGGCAGCTGCTGCCGTCAAAGATGAGCATGCGCCCGGCTAGAACCTCGCCCAGTCCGACAATCACTTTGATAGCCTCCATAGCTTGCAGGGCGCCTATGGTGCCGGTGACAGCGCCCAGGACGCCACCATCGCCGCAATTGGTGACCGCCTCTGGCGGCGGTGGCACCGGATAAATGCAACGATAGCAGGGTCCATTCTCTCCATAGCAGTAAACCGTTAGCTGTCCGTCCATTTTAAGTGCGCTGCCCGAGACCAGGGGCTTCTGTAGTATGGAGCAGGCATCGTTCAGTAGATAGCGTGTGGCCACATTGTCACTGCAGTCGAGAATCACGTCATATGCGGGGATGATCTGCATCGCATTGAAGCTGTTCAGAAGATTCGAATAACATATGATCCGGCAGTGCGGATTCAGCTCCAGTAATGCGATACGAGCTGATTCCGCCTTCGAAATGCCACACCGCGACACCGTGTGCAGGGTCTGACGATGCAGATTGCTGGGCTCCACTTCGTCATAGTCGACAAGGCCAAGATTGCCGCACCCCGCGCTGGCCAGATATTGCGCGGCTGGGCAGCCAAGGCCACCCAAGCCCACAATGAGCACGGCGCTGTTCTTGAGCTTCAGTTGGCCACTCACACCAAAATCAGTTAGGATCAGCTGTCGACTGTAGCGCGCTATATCATCGTTGCTTAGCTCTGTGTATTGATCCCTTGGCGCGAACTGCACTTCACCTTCCGCGAGCGAGTTATCTGCTGCCAATTGAAGCTCACGCAATTTCTGATCTTTCGCATTCAGTGCTGCCTGCAGCTCCGCAATCTTGCGGCACAGCTTGGCCTTTTCTATTTCGAATGAATCGGCGGTGGCAGCAATCATTGGCACGTGCAAAAATGCATTCGAGGCTTAAGGGAAAAAAATGTAAACGAATACTTATTTACGCACTGACGTGAAATATGCAACAGCGTTGCGGCGTTGCCACACCGGATAAAAACCCACTTACGATAGTTCCAACGATAACATATTCACGAGTCGAAACAGCTGTAGCAGCTGCTGCCTATCAGCTTTACAGTTAACTATTTAGAATTACCTAATCGTGAATTAAAACGAAGACCAATAATGTCTTGGCTGGTCGGCACGTTTCAGAAGCTGTGTGGCGTTGGTCAACTCGCTGCGAAGTCAAAGCCGTTGGCGCTGAACTCTTCTACGTCGGTGCGTCAGCTTTCGCATGCCGAGCGACGGGCACGCGGTCCCACAGTGCGACGCTATGGCTACAAGGAGAAGATCTTTCAAGGTGGTCTGCTCCCGCATGTCGATAACGGACACAAGCTGCCCATGCCCGTGTACAGGCCCAAGAATCCCTGGTCAGAGAAACGTGCTCTGTTTGGACAAAACGATTTCATAGACATACTGGGCAATGACCGGCTTCATCCCACCCGTGTGCTTTACTCGGTGCCATCCTGGCTGCGTGGCGTCTCGGGCAATGAGTACCAAGTGCTGCTGCGCAAGCGTCGACTGCTGGAGAAAACCAAGTACCCGATTGCCCGTCCGACCAAGTGGAAGGATATGCAGAAGCGTATTTTATATTTGTACAGATTCCTCAACCGGAAGACTAAAACCGGATACTCAACACAATAATTCATGATTAAACATATTAGTTGAATAAATTCATTCTTTTAATTGGTGAATTCTTCAAAAACGGCTTATTCTAGTAATATACGCGCCTCTTCCCCGTCAATCATAATCTTCTGCCCATTGTAGAGGCAGAACTCGCGCTTCACGTGCGCGAACAGCAAATCCGTAATTAGGAATATTTGACCCGTGCTGAAAGCGAGGGTGGCTCCAAAGTAGAAATTGGCATTAGCAGAGCCGGCATAGATCCACAAATGCCAAAAGGCGCCCATCATGGACAGCGTTATCAGAAAGAAAGTAAACACGACAAATCCATGGGCCATGACTAGAGGGAAACGAGGATATTTTAATAAGATTTGGTTGCAATTGAGTGCCAAATGCGAGTTCTACTCACACTTCCAGCAACGACGCCACAGCGGCAATAAGGCCAAATAGAATCCAACATCGCCTAGACTAGGATATGCACGAAAGACCGCCATGAGCGCAATGAGCACGGTGGCCAGCAGCAGGGGCTCCTTGCGCAACTTCAAGGACAATGGAACCAAATACAAAACGGTGGCATTTAATTGGAATGTAATCAGAAACATGGTGCGGAAATGCTCAAACATCTCTGTAAAGAAGTACCAGAATAGACCAATATTGGGCTGTAGATCACGGAAGAAGAAGCTGAAAGGAGCAATGAATATATTAATTGTCCAATTTTAACCGAATTCAATTCAGTCACTTACATAAATCCGAGTGTGCCATCTAGGTAATTCCAGCTATTCATCACCAAGAAATTCGCACCAGCCACAGCAAAGCAAGAGGTAACAAATATGATGAATATGGCGATGCCCATAGGGACAGAACGGCGAGCAAAGAGTAAGATCAACGGCGCAATCAGAACAAATGGATAAAGATTGCGAACTGTCTCGAAGGCCAGCAGAACGGTGCAGATCAATAGCTGGCGCTTAACCATTGAGTATAGAATCAATGCAAGCAGTAAATTGCTCAGCACTGTGGAGGTCAGTCCTATGCAGCTCATTATAGTCAGTGGATTGAATAGATAGGCCAATAGCACCAGCTCCGGTATGTGGGATTTGTCCTCATCGGTATACTGTAGCTCTTCTGTATCTTTTGCGTACTCTTCGCATTCTCCTTTTTGCTGTTGCAGCTTTTGCTTCACAAACGTATGGCCCAGCAAACATAGTAGCGTGGCCGTGCACAAGTCTAACAATATATATAGTAGTGGGAGCACTTGAGCATAGTTTATCAAAATGCCTGAGAGGGCTTTCAAAAGCAGTGGCGACTCATGCACCAAATCTCCGCTGTATGGATCCACACCTTGCTGAAGCAGGAATACGCCCTCTTGCACTGAAAAAATGCAAAATGAAAAGATACATTTTCACAGATGCATGTGTATATATATTTTCCAGCATATCGGCGTACTTACGGCGCTTAAACGAATTTAAAGGAGTGGCAAATTCAACGCGATTCCCGATAAGCGGAGCTAAAGACGTTTGACTGAAATATAAACGCACGGCGCCGCCCAGCAAAAGTAGTTTGTAGTAATTGGAGTTCATGACTGAAAATTGTTTTTATTATTCAGACTAGAAACATAATAATTTTCAAGTAGCTCCTATATTTGTGGACGGTGTTTTTAAAATAACATCTGTCTCGGTTGTTAGAGACAACAGATTTATTTGTAGTTTGTTATCGATAAAAGACAGTACACTGTTCCAGGTGTGCGAAATTAAGAACTGGCTGCTGTTAACTAGTTTCAATAAATTTATAAAAAACATATATAGGTAATTTTTATTTAATTTGTTGTTTATATCATTGTTAAATAAATGGCAGGTAACTAATTATTATTATATAATCCGTTAGAATTAGCTCGTTCCTTATGTGATATCTAACATGGATAACCTACTCAATAAAAATTATGGGGACATGCGTTCAGAAAAAGGAGTATATTTGCGTTTATTTAATTTCAATATTAAAATATATATTTCGAAGGAGGCATAATTTACTTTTCTGATTGCACAGTATTTAAATTTTCCTATTCATTTCATAGTTCATGTTCAGCTGAGCGAACGAAGGGTTCATCTAGTTCAAGTTTGTTTGTTGGTTCATTTTGCATGTTTAACCATTTTGAGTAGTATTGTGCATTTTATTTGAGGCTCTTCCTAATTTAATTTAATTTCGAGTTCCCAGTCTCAATATGGCAGGCAGTGTTAAGGCAAAGAAAAAATCCAAGACAAATACATTTGTGGAAATAGCAAACAGATTTGAACAATTAGTGAAACAACCGGATCGCTATCTAAAGTAAGTTTTAGTTCAGCCTTAACGGTGCACGTGTTGCTAATATGAAATTGTTTTTGTTGCAGGCCGCAGCCAGAATCAATAGATTCCATACATCAGCTAATAAAGCAAACATACAACGTTTGTCTCACTAGCGATGTGGATAAAAATGGAGACATTCCCTCTGAAATTGTGTTGGAGGATATGGACGACGAACAGATCTGGCAACAGCTAGAAATACGCAACAATTTGATGTTGGAAAAGCTTATAAAACAAACCGCTCAATTTTTAGCAATTGGGGAGCAGAATTTGGGCATCGAGCTGGATGAAGAAGAGGATCCAAATGAGCAAGATAGCGATAAAGAGGTAACCGAAAATGATGATGAACAAGAATCTGAATTGGAGGATTCTGGCGATGAAAATAAAGGAAAGACCAAGTCAAAGTCCAAGCAAGTTAAGCCAAAATATAGCAAAAGAGGCAAAGGCTCTGTGGTAGATGATAAATTTTTCAAACTGGACGAAATGGCACAGTTTTTGGAGCAGGAAGATGCAAAAGAGATGCGAAAACAAAAGAACAAGAAGCCGGTAGAGGACATAGAAGCAATTAATCATTTTGCAGAAGATTTTGGAGTTGTCGATGACTCGGACGATGACGAGGCTGGCGCTAATGCTAACTTTGCCGATTTCTTCGAGATGGACGATGAATTGCAGGCAGAATCCCAGAAGAGAGGTACACAAAAAGATTTCTTCAAGGAAAGCGACAGTGAGCCAGATGATCAAGAGGATAACGAGGTAGAACCGGAAAAACAGGATGAGTTGGAACCTGATGGTGATCTAGCAAGCGAAATCGATGAACATGACTTTGTGGCACAAAGTGGAGTGGAGCCTGCAACCGATTCCGACTCCGAATCGAACCACTCAAAGAATGAAAAGGCAGAGGACGAGGACGAAGATGACGATGAGGAATCAGAATCATCCAAAATGCAAGCACAGTCGTCAAATGAATTGCGTGAGGCGAGACTTCTGCAGCGCATTCGAGACTATGAAGATATTGTGCTTGGCGAGAAGCCGTGGCAGTTCAAAGGCGAAGTGCAAGCCGCGAGTCGTCCACAAAACTCTCTGCTGGAGGAGATTCTCGAATTTGATTCAACGACTCGACCTTCGGCTCCGATTACAGATGAACAAAATCAGACCATCGAGGATATAATAAAGCAGCGCATCCGCGATAGAGCCTTTGACGATGTGGTGCGTACGGTGCGACCGGTGCATACACCGCAGGAATACCGAAAGCAACTTGTGCTTGATCAGGAGAAGTCGAAGCAGTCCCTGGCACAAATCTACGAGCAGCAATACCAGCAAGAACTGGACAAATTAGACCCCAATCGCGATGACGCAGATAGTGCGGCTCCTGAGCCGAAGGAACATCAAGAAATTAAGCGAGCAATGCACACACTCTTCCTCAAGCTGGATGCACTCTCCAATTTCCACTTCACACCCAAGCCGGTTGCACCCGAAGTCAAGATCGTCACCAACACGCCCGCCATCCACATGGAAGAGGTTGCCCCGCTGGCAGTTAGCGATGCCAAATTGCTCGCTCCGGAGGAGGTGTTCCGTGGTCCCAAGCACACGCCGATGGGCAAGACAGAACGCACACGCACCGACAAGAATCGTGAACGGCGAAAGAAGAAGCAGAAGCAGCGTGCCATTAATACGGCTATAGAAATGCGTGAGCAGCAACGGGCCAAGGAGGGCAAGGCGCCGACCCAGCGGGAAGCAAATGCTAAGCTTCTCAAATCAATTACAAAGAGTCGCAATGTACAAAAGGCTAGTATCTCTGAATCTCTGATTTATATTTGTTATATTAATTGAAATTATTCTTTTTTTATAGATTACCGCCAGCAATGATCAAGGCGCATTGAAATCCTCCAAGGCATTCTTCAATAAGCTACAGGACAAAACATTGTCCACGTCCGCAACTGCTGGCGGCAAGCGTCCCAAAAAGGACACATCCAAAGTCAATGCGAAAAAACTCAAGTTGTAAATACATATAAGGAAAGAAACTTGTAAATGTGAATTATATTTGTCAAGCGAAGATTATATTGGTTTCCCCATTCGTGACGTCAAAAAACATGCTCTAAGCAGCGGTCACGTGCCGTCAAACGTCGCACACACTCGGCTACCGCTGGGATGGCGGTTAGCGAGCACACTAAAATTGGGGCGCCATGGGAGATGCCATGCGTCGTCCACTTTGAAGTTTGCGTGGGCGTGAACATTGTCCAAGGACATGATTATTAGCCGCTTGTGTAATAAAGTAAACGTAGGATATTTTTAGGATAGCCGCAGCCTTAAATGTAGCAGTTGAGTAATTCTATTTATATATGGCAACGTTCCTCGTTTCTCTCTAGTAATCTTTGAACTAATTTTTGTAGAGATTCTTTTAATAGTGCGCTCCTAATTTAAATCTTCGCGCTTTAACCAACTCATTTTGCAGCACTGTTATAATTATCGAAACAATCACGGCGATATTTGCGCAGTCGATATCGATAATATACATCTTGCGATTATTTCAAGCGGTCTTGCACGTGTTGCTCGCGAGTTTTGTATATTGTAAATTTTATTAAATATAAAAAGCAATCATGGTGAAAGTACAAAAACCACAACCGAAAACTCTTAAGAAAAGCACAAAAAGTGATGGCGTAATTAAAGAAAAACAAAAAGTAAACAAAACCATTAAGAAATCATCAAAAGCAAATGGCTTAGCACCGGCCGAAACTAAAGTTGACAGTAAAAAGATTTCAGCAATAAAGTCGGATGTCCAGAAGAGTTCTGAACGAAAGAACCCAAAAGTCGCAGTGGAGCCCAAGCTGGAAGAAGCAAAGCCCCCACAGAAGTCCAAGTCGACCAAGAGGCCCCTAGTTCTTGCACCTCCAAAATCGCCGATTGCTTTGCCCACAAAAACAAGCAAAAAGGCTGCTCCAGTGGCTACGCCTGCTTTGCCCACAAAAACAAGCAAAAAGGCTGCTCCAGTAGATACGCCTGCTTTGCCCACAAAAATAAGCAAAAAGGTTACTCCAGTGGATACGCCTGCTTTGCCCACAAAAACAAGCAAAAAGGCTACTCCAGTGGATACGCCTGCTTTGCCCACAAAAACAAGCAAAAAGGCTACTCCAGTGGATACGCCTGCAGTGCCCACGAAAGCAATTAAAAAAGTTGCTCCAGATGCTACTGCAGTGGCTGCACCTGCTCCCAAGAAAGCTAAAATAGCAAAGATTGAGAGGACTGCAAGTGAGCCAGTATTGAAATCGGAGGTAAAGCAAAAGGCCAAAGCAGAAGTGGCTAAAAACAAGAAAAAGATAAAGCAAATTAAACAGGCTGTCGCCCCAGCCATAAAGGACGAAGCCAAGAAGCAGGTATCAAAAAATGCAAAAGCATCAAAGAAAGTTTTGAATCAAACTAAGACTAAATTGGCCAATAAAATAGGGGCAAATAAGAAAGCCAAGAAAGGAAAGATTTCAAAGAAGCAAAAAGACGTAAAGCAAAAGAAACCGAAAGTTGTGGAACTGAAATATGAAGTGAAATCGTTTGATGAGGATAAGTTTAATGAAATTGTCTGCGAGAAAAATGTGGAAAAGGTGTGCTCAGCGCTGATGAGCCAGGTGCGCGAGGAGGTGCAGAAACTGAAGTCGAAGCCCATCTTCAGCGATTACCGCTATATTCTACAGGTGGCCAGCTATAAGATTCCCAGCTGCCCGAAGCGCATAGTCAAGTTGGCGCTGAAGCACTCGCTAGTGGGCAAGGATGATGATGTCGCAGTTATTGTGACCGACTTGCAGCGTGGAGCTCGCTTCGACTATGAGCCGACGGTGCAGCACTACGAGGATTTGTTCCGTGAGGCTGGCATCGAGCAGCGCCTGAAGATTGTGCCATTCAATCAGCTACGCAACGACATGGTTACATTCGAAGCTAAGCGCAAGTTCCTAAATAGCTATGACTATTTGCTCTGCGATGGACGCATCTCGGGTCAGGCTACCGCCTTCCTCGGCAACGTAAGTAACAATTGCGGTCTAATAAGCTCTGCGTCTGCTCTAATCACGATCCCGTTTCGTCTGTAGTTCACCCAGAAGCCACGTAATGTGTTGCACTCCGTGCGTCTGAGCAAAAGCAATCAGTTGCCCAAGGAGATATCGCGTGGTCTTTGCCGCACTGCTTACAGACAGCTGCGGAAGGGTGATCTAATAGCCATTCCAGTCGGCAATCATGAGCACAGCGGCCAGCAGCTGGCAGAGAATGTGCTGTGCGTCGTCAAACAGTTGCAGCAGCTGTATCCTGGTGGGCTACCCAACATACGTTCAATGTATTTGAAAATCGACATTGTTGGAACCTCTTCACTGCCCCTCTACATTAGCTTGTGCGCCCCACCCGTGGACGCGCCGTACGTTGTGGGTCCACGCGAGCAGCGGATGCTCAAGTTGAAGAAGCAGGCAAACGAAGTGCTATCTAGATTTGCTCTCACCAAGGATGTTGATTTCGTGAAGCTGACGCAGGATCAGGTTAAGCGTAAGGCTGAACTTCGTCTGAAGCGAAATGCACTCAAAGCTGAGGATGCAAAGGACGATGAGAATAAGGGCAACGTACCGGAGGACTCCATTGTGCTGGCCAAAAAGACACGTAAAAATGTGGAATCTGAAAAGGTTAAAGAGGACAAAGAAGAGGAAGAAAATAAAGATAATGATGAGGATGACGGCGACGATGATGGAGATGATGATGAGGATGAGGATGATGATGAGGTTGATAATGAAGAGGATGAGGATGATGATAATGATAATGAGGAGGATGAGGATGATGATAATGATAATGAAGAGGATGATGATGATGATAATGAAGAGGATGAGGATGATGACAATGAAGAGGATGAGGATGATGACGATGAATAGAATTAGTTTTCTTTACTTTTTTATTTGAAATGCAAACAAAACTCCATTATCTCTATTATAAACAATTATTCAACGTAAGAACGTTGATTAATGTATATACTTTGCAGTCAATACAATGCAATACAATTGAGTTTTAGAGCCCCTAATTATGATCACGTGGCGAATTTTTAAATAGCCTAAATGTTTTATATACAAAAAACAAGCTGATAATAAATAAATATATACAAAATATACAATTATTAACAAATATTCATAAATATGAGGGTTAGTTAAAGGATCGAGATTTTTGGTATCCTGAAGCCAATGCAAATGGGATTTATAATGTATTTCTTCAGACTTGCGTAGCGGATTCTAGAAAGTATATAAAATAAATACTATATTTGTGCTCTATACTAGGAGAGGTAAGTCGTCAGTAGTCATAACATTTTGTTCTTCATTTCGGAACATTTAATTAATATCCAATTAATGATAATGCGAAATGGCCGTTTCTGCTTCCATTACCATTCTTTTTTCAATGCTAAAAAAACAAAACTATTATTGCAAATGCGCATATTTGCAGAATATTCTCGTACCTGAATGTTTATTCAACAGGTCATCTTTATTCATTATCTTTTGTATTGCCATTTATGCCCTTCATACTGGGTATTATGAAATTAATAGGATATTTGCGACAGACGGAAAAAGTGTTAAAAGTGTTTTGCAACATGTTTTCAGATATATTATATTTATACATATTTAGTTATTCAATTTTAAAGAACAATTTATATATTTATTTATATATATATTGTTTTTCAATTAAAAATAAAAATTGATTGGTCTATACAGAAATTAAATAAAACATACTATATTATTTGATATATGCAGCTAAATAAAATATAATTTGATATAAATTAAAAACTCTAATTGCATGTAATTAAATCCTTTTTTTAAGTGTTAAATAAATCGAATTATGAAACTTGGCTTACATAAAGGGCAGTTTTTTTTTTCGCTTCGCTCGGCAAGTGTATGTGACATAAAAATTAATGTTTACAAACGGAAATTGACCGAACATTTAAGCTCAATAAAAATCGATTTGAATAATGTTTTGTTGACGCCTTTATAGCGCCATATGACGTTAAATATATGCATATATAAATGTATATAAGTAGTAATATTGAAATATATGGACATTTGATGCTCTGGAAATTTGTTGGGAATTGCTAACATGCTATCGGCATGGCATGCCACGACTCTGGCTTTAGCTTTGACTATGGCTTTGTGCTAACGTCTCTCCGTATACGAACATTTTGATAGCTATTTAACAAAATATGCAAGCACTGTCGCCACGGGCGTTCCGTGTCCTGGTAAAGTGAAATGCACTCCTCTTTGCAGTGAACGATGGACATCAGACGACAGACGACAGACGACAGAAGATTTCCATAATATTTGACCTACGCGTGCATAAAATACATTTAATACATAAATTTGGTAGAGCTTATCAAGAGCTTGGTCATCAAATGTTTGCCAGGCTCTTTGAAGTTTGCTGATGGATGATGAACGAATGCTCTGACGTCTTGAGCTATCTTTAGCTACCACAAATAAAAAGGTCAAAAGGTCGCAAAGTTGTCATAATCACCTATACAAAACGATATGTAAGGGCCCAGGCCAAAAGCAACCTTGGACTTGCACAAGTTATGTTACTCAATTAGTCTAATGTTCATTCACACAACTTTTACACTTGATAATGTGAGACCTCTCAGTTACACACACACACACACACTCACACACTCATTTATGTAGACATGCAGGTTCTATTAGGTGTAGGCCATCACTGTACTCCAGAGATTTAAATCACGTTTCGCTACGTTTATGGACAATTGACTACGCTGACCACGTCGAAAAATAACATTGCAAAGCTTTTATCAGTCGCATTATCATTCATCCGTGGGCCGTCAACTCCCTCCTGTTGCCATAAAGAAAAACAAATGTTATGAGCATGCGCTGAGCCTTTCTGAGTAAGGATTGCATTGAGATTTATTCAAATTTGGTCATTATTTAATTCTAATATTGTCTCTATTAACATTACAAGAATAATTATGTTTCGTAGATCAATATTCCAAATTCGAATTCATGATCCTTTAAGTCTTGTAGAAATGAACATGTGTGTAATATTATCGAGCTTAGAAAACTTGACTTCAATTTAAGACTTTAAAATACACATTTCTATTTTATATAATTTCTTCTAAGTATTTACTCCAAGTATGTCCTGTAAGTCTTTAATGCTTAGCTGAACGATGACATATTTCTTCTAAGTATTTCCTCTAACTCTTTAATGCTTGGGTAAACGATTACACAATTCTACCTAAATCTTTCATCCAAGTATTTCCTCTAAGTCTCCTCCGAATATTTCTTCTAAATTTTTGCCTTGAATGCTTAGCTGCATGTATTTTATCTAAGTATTTCTTCTAAATATTCCTTCAAAGTATTTCCTCCAAGTCTTTAATGCTTAGCTGAACGATGACACAATTCTACCTAAATCTTTCCTCCGAATACTTCTTCTAAATTTTTGCCTTGAATGCTTAGGTGCATGTATTTTATCTAAGTATTTCTTCTAAATATTCCTTCAAAGTATTTCCTCCTCCAAGTGTTTAATGCTTAGCTGAACGCAAACATTTCTTCCAAGTCATTCTTTTAATTATTTCCTTTAAAAATGTACTCTTTAATGATTTGCTGAACTAACACACACTTCACTTCACTTCACTTTACTGCACTGCACGACTGACCTCTTCCAGGCCTGGGCGACTGAAGAAATGCTGCAGCTGCAGCTGCCCTTTATATACGGCTACTTTCACTGAGAGTCTAAGTCGCTCTCAAATGTTGAGCCCGATGCCAGGTAGAGAGGTCGCCCGATCGTTGCAGTCGACCTTTAAATGACCAATGGGAACACTCTCTGCTGCTGCAGGCAGTCTAGTTTCGTCTTACTCAAATATAAATATCAAATGCTTCGGCACTTCTTCTTCGTCTTTAGCTCTTGTTAGACTCACAAACGAAGAGACAGACTATGAGTCAGACAGGGAGAGAGACAGATATACATACGAGCAGATATAGAAGCAAACAAATACGCTGATCAAGAATATATGTATATGTTTGATATGCTAAACAGCTTATTTCCGTTAATATTATGCACTGTTTCATTATAATGATTACTATTTATAATAACTTATATTTTTTCATAAACAATTCAATACTTGAAAACCACTATCTCGTCTAATACTTTAGACTGCATTTAAGAAAAGCTTAAACATCATAATGAATTCTTTAAATACTTATATAATTCATATCAATTAATGCTTATCACCTTTGGGTTAAAGCTTTAACAAATGCACACAATATATGTATGTATATCGGGCATTTATTCATTATCAGACAATAAAGGAATACCCTACGAAATAATATATATATTTGTATATATATTTTATTTTTATCGCATTTGGACTCAGCTGTTTGTCCGTTATTGTTTTCTTGGTTATTTCAGTAATATATTTTATATCTCCAAAGTCAGGTTAACATAAAGATTTGGGTACATAAATATTTAAAAAAAGTCTTAAATTGAATAATTTTATGTTTCAATGAATCCTTTGCATGTACACAATATATATATATATATGTATTTATAGACACATATAAATACTGTAAACAATTGTGTACTCATGCAAGCATTTGAGTAAGTCGCATTAATTCTTATATACATATATACAAAAAAGCTTTTATTATTCATTGTGGTTCACGTCTATTCTATAATTTCAGTTGACAAAGAAAAAATATGTATTTGAATATTCAAAGTTATTCTCGAAGTGAATGCGCCCATAAGTGTATGGACATTTATTAAGCTCGATTTTCAACATGGAAAATATTGTAATTCGTTCACATGGTCGGCAAGTAGAGAAAAGCTTTAGGATTATTAGTTTGGAAATTATTAAAGCGTCATTTTCAGATTCAAGCGGCTTCATTTTTCTGTTTTTCGGGAAGAACTAAGCTGATTTCTTCAGGATGTATGAAATTGAAAAATTCGATCTGGCTATATGTATTGATTTAAGTAAATTGTGAATATATAAAGAATACTATTTCTATATATTAAAAGGTATTATTAATTTAGTTTAATTTGGTCAATCGCTGACCTGACCCCACCCCGTTGATATATCATATCAGACCTGTATGAGCTAGAGAAAGCAAGGAATCATTCAAACAAAGATAAATGATATACTTACTTCATAACATCATGCAGCTCAAAAATGGAGAAAATAAAGTAAAATAACAGCTTAGAGCAGAGAATATGATTCATATCAAAAAATGCTTAGCAAGTTAGCTTAGCTTTAGCTGAGATTTTGAACATGATTTATTAACAAGCAAATATGTATGCATATATAAAAAACAATTTTTACCTATTCTGAATTCCAAATTATAATTCTCTAATTCTTAACTTATTGTGAATTGCTTCCATAGACAATTCTCTTATGTTGCTAATTACCCATTTGCTAATCTTTATGAAAAAGTTTTCGCAAGCAACTTGGCTAATATGGAGAAGGCAATAACTAATCAAAAACCATTTTATTTGTTTGTTTTCCTCCTCCTCCTTTAAACCTTACAATATTTCCGAGTAATCCTTTAAAAGCACTTTCTAAATCCTCTTGAAAAGTTCATATCTATACGCACAGCGCATATAAACAAAACCGTGAAGCCTACTCAAATTTACCATGACCTTCTCTAAATACTACGAGTAAAATAAATAAATGTCACTGCGGAAAAGCATGAAAACCACGTGTACGCCTCTCGGTTGATAATGTAGGCTAAAATATGAAGCATATTGTATAAAACTAATTAGATAAGAGTGTTATAAAGCCAACGCCCCCCTCTTGCCGATGAATTAATAAGCCAATGGCCATTTTGTAGTGCGAGGAGCCAAGGATTTATATGCATATTAGATTTTAGCTGACGGCTGCCAAATATATGTGCAACTAATTGAAAATAATCTGTGGCTGATTAGAGTGATTCGATGATTAGCTGATAAGATCGCGTGACACACTGTGTGTGAGGCGAGCGCTAATTGTGCGTAATTGCTGTCTGATAAACCGCTAAAATAACGCACTCTGCTAAATACCCGTGGCTCTGGCCGCGTACCACGTGTTGCACATTGCTCATACGACGTGTGGTCCAACAATGACTGCGCATAATCTTGCATGGGCAACATCAATGTCGTGGGCGTTCGTTTGGTTACTCGTGCCGACGCTATTTACCTGAAAGAACATACGCACATACACACACACATGCACACACACGTATACAGATGTATTCATTGCGTTGAAATCTTTCGAATCCTCGTCCACTTTGATACGAACTCTGGAGGCACGAACTGAACAAACGACTCGTATAAATCGAGTGCGCCTTGGCAGCCGATTTTCACTTACGTTTCAGTTCCAAAGCGGTGCAGTTATCGGAGCAGCGGAAAGTCCTGARCGACAGCAGCAACAGCAGCAGCAGTGGAAGCAGCTAGCGACGGTGAATTCAAATCAGAAATTCTAGTTCAAAAACATTTTCAAAGTGCTTCACAGTTTTTAATGAATTTTTCTTGTTTTGTGCAGTTCTTGAAATTTCATAAAAAACTTGCTAAAATCTGACAATTAAGCAGAGTCTGCAAAGACAAAATTAAATCAAATTTCTATCAATTTATTCGTTTGAAAAGAAGGGTAAGTGAGATTTTTAAAAATAAAATTAGCGAATGTGCTGTTTGGAATAAATATTTTAAATTACAAAAAGAGTTTAATTCAGTAAAATGCAAATGTTACATACATTCATTAAAATTTGTCTTTTAATTTTAGGGATAGGGGAAAAATATTCTAGAAATTTTATTTTTACTTTTGGAAGGCTGTATCCTCTATACAAATTGTTTTAGTGCTTCATGAGAAACTGTGCCTAGATTCTGGTTCTAAACAATTATTAACGTTGTTCTTTTTGAAATTGATTAAAGCTCTATTTCAAATATTCTATTAGATTTATTTAATATTTTTAAACCATTTCTCAATACCTTAAACTACACCTGTTTATCTAAGAAAGTTGTTTGAATAAATTTAATATTATTGTGATAAATAGGAACATCAGATGCAATATAGCTCCTGCTACAGCCTTTATACATATATGTATATGCAGTCAGTACTTATTTGAAATCATTTATATTTTCCTCCATCATTAAATGGGACTTTAGAAATATTTCAGAAAACAAAATCATAAAATCAAAATAATTAATAATTACCGTTATTTCAAATACGATAAAAAGGCCCTTTTAATCATCTAATTATTGCACATGAAATTGAATATAACATTGGATATTCAATTAGATGATAGCTCGTTTCTGTCGTTCTATTAAAAATACAAATTAGATATAAAACAGCAAAAATACATTTTTAAAGTAATTCGCTTTTTGCTACTGTGACTGTCAAAGGAATTCGACTGCTTTACTCAGACCCCGTTGGCTGTGCCACACAATTCATGGCCAAAGATAGCTAAATTCCTTAAACTTAATGTTTTTCGATTCGCCAAGAGCTTAAAAAAACACATAATTTACAATTTATCTGTATCAGAGACCAACAGTGCAACATTACACTTGAAAAATTTTGTAATGCTTCTTACTGTAACAGTGTTAAAGTTGTTATTTGTTCAGTTCCTATATATCTATAAGTATTCCAGGTCAAGCCTAGATACAAATAAAAGCAATCCACATGTAAACTCAGCTTTGCTGTGCAGCCTTTAAGATGTGAATCCATATCTCTTCGGAGGTTGAACTTCAAATAAAAAGTACGCTGCAATACAGTAGCCTTTGAATGTCCACGTCCTTCTAGATAACAGTCTTTACAAGTTAACTTAACTTGTAACAAATCTTACAATTTAATAAGACCGAGTGACATTCATGATGTATACATATGTTGAGAGCATTAAATCTTTGGCTTTAGACAGCCGCACAGCCAGTAAAGGCTCCATTTATGATGAGTGCCAATGAGGCCAAAAGAGTATATTGGCTCTGCAAGCGAGTTAAAGTTGGTAATACAAATTATAATATTAGATACCTACAGAGACATACTCAAATATATATTTTTAATTTTATAAAATTTCTCTTTATTTGCATAGTTAAATATCTCCTATTGTAATCACATCTATCTATATCACAGGGATTGTTTAATGAACTGAAAATTGCATATGTAAATATACAGACAGAGCTAAAGATTAAATTCCCGACATATGGCAAAGGCGTATGGTATTTGAGCTTCTGCTTTCCAGAAAGGCGTAATAAACCTCTTTGGAATTTAGCTTGCAACTGTCCTAAGCTCTTGCCAGTCACACGGACTCACACGTGGTCCTTTGGCCCTTCCTGGATGTGTGCTCGGCTAAGGACATTTTGTTCTCACATTGCCTTTTTGCCAAATTCGTTCATGCGACCCTTTTAATATCGCAAAAATCTTTTACTGAATATTGCGAAATTAAGGTAGATTTTGTACCTTTATTATTTTATACTTTGGCAAAAGGCCGGGCAAAAGGAAAAGTCTTCGGGATTATCGTGCAAACTGCAAGCTCCAATAAGCGACATCTTCCAAAGTGAACGAAATGTGGCTTTTAAATTTATATTATAGAGCTTAAGAATGATAAAAGAAAAATATTCGCTTCTGTTAAAATTGAAACTAAGCCGCTGATGCCATTTTTGGTGCGCATTTGAGCAACATTTTCTCCTGCTACTATTAATATAAGCACAAATCGCATTTAGTTGAATTTCTTATGTTGCTGCTCAGCGATTCGCATCAGTGAATTTGGCACTAAAACTCTGGTTGCAATATCAGTTTGTATGTCTTTTTGATGTTAAATGTGGGCGTTCCGTTATAATAAAAAAATCATTTGAATCAGCCCCGAGCAAACATGAAGTATAGTTGCTCATTTTAAGGAAAATAGTATTTTAATAAATAGTATTCAAGTATATTATAATCCTTGATATAAATTTATAAACTCGTTAAAACTTGTTTGCATATTATATATCAAGTTTTATTTGATTTAATTTATTGCATCAATATCAGATTTAAGATTTTTTTTTTATATACATATATATATTTTTTAT